TCATTACAGGCAGGTCTGACTGCCTCTTTATAGTCAAATACAGTAAGGGTATAAAGTAATGTAACAATTGTATTGATATCAAAGAATACTGATACAACCTGCAATGCAGCAGAACAGCTGGAACTTTAACGCTGCTTCATTCAGAGTCTAAGTTAGGACATCTCAGATCATTTTTTTGACTAGCCTCACAGTTAGACTGTAGTAAGCTGATGGACACTCCAAGCATCAATTCCCCCTCTCCTTTTAAAGCAGCTAAAAATGTATGTGCATCCATGCCCTAACAAATGCAAATAGAAAAATCCAGCTGTATGCAGAGACACATACAGGGTTGGATAGCAGTGGAGGAGGGTGTAGAGAGTGACATGTCCAACATTTATCATTTATCATTCTGTCCTTGGCAATAAAGTGCTATTAATGGATGACCTGGTCAGTGGAACTGTGAATTCTGTTCTGTAAATAATCAGGACATACTGGAGAGGATCTAAGCATATGGATCTTTCAGCTTATCTAATTTCTCTGGGAACAAATCATTAGAAAAGTGGCATCATTTTTGGGTTTTGCACAGGTGATTGGCGACTACTATGGAAAACAGGGGCGCTTTGAATTTCGATCAAACATGAAGTATCCTTGGAATCATGGCAAGCTAAGAGTAGATGAGAGCCGCACTGCAGAGCACACAAACACCACACCTTGTAAATCATGTAAGTTTATTGACTGTCGCTGGAGAAAGGAAGTATCTCAGCTTGATGATATCCTTAATTTTCATTAATATTGAAAACACTAGCTGCATTCTCTTTATAATTTTCTGTACATGCTCATTGTGGGCCAGACTCTCCCTAACCAGCTGACATGGGGATGGTTCCTTCATTCATCTTCAAGTTAGGGGCATTCCCTCAAGTCCTAGGCTCAGTGAAGCAGACAGCTCCATGCTTCCCCACCCCTCCATACTGGGTGAGGCCCCGTTGTGGAGAGGGGCACGTTGCACTACTTTAAAAATGGTGCAGCCGCTTGCCTAATCCCTGCATGCTTCGTCAAGAGACAGCCATCCCCAAGTTTCCTGTGAGCCTGTGCATCTCTGCTCTGCACCTTACCAGGCCTGTGTCTCAATGCTAAATTCCACCCTGCCATTTGGCTATTAATTTATGCAATTATGCTTATATGGTCATTTGTTTGCTGTAACCTTCACAGACACAGCCTTTAATTTGTAACTCAGCCCAGGTTCATTTACAGGTTTGCTGAGGTCTGCAAAAGTCATTGAGTGATGAGAAGTACACCTGGACTGATTTATGGATTTGATGCTAAACAAGGAGAAACCTGATTGCTCCTGTAATAACTGCTGCCCGTGTCTGTAGCCAGTTTTGCTACAACAGTGACCTACTGTAATCCTAGACCAAGTCATGACTGAGCTGAGCATTCAAACCAGTCTCTTATCAGCATTCCTGTGTACTACACATTTCCATTACAATTGTGACAGTGTTATTTTGATTGTGAGGGTGTGTTTGACCCCCTAAACTCTTCGTACAACAGGGAGGAAAATAAATTGATGTGAGATCAACCCAAATGAAAAATTCCCAGAAATCCCTGTGTAATAAGTTCTGAATGACTTTGGATAGTATCTGATGCTGGTCATTTATTGAACAAATCTGCATTTCCCAAGCAGGTCTCACTGTGAACTCTGATCATTTCTTTTTCTTTTCTCAAGCAGGTGGCCTAGGAGAGTCAGCAGTCACAGGAATCATAGTGGGTGCCTTACTTGGGGCAGGATTGCTAATGGCTTTTTACTTTTTCAGGTTAGTCCAAGTTACTAAATGATTCTAAGACCTCCCGGGGTGCCCAAACTTCTCTACTCCTTTCAAGAATTTCACTCATGTTAGAAAATAGGGCCCAAAAAAGCATATCTTTTGTGGCAAAATCCCACAGAAGACAACTCGTTTTTACTGTTTTGTACCTTTAACTGTTTCACTGTGTTAGGGCCTGATCCGGCAAAGCTTTTGGCTTGTGAGTTACTTTGCTTATAGGAACAGTTGCAATGAGTTCATGCCCCTTTGTTTCTGCCTTGTTAAATCACATAAGGTGTTTTTTCATGTACTCGGGTTGGGGGGGAGGGGCATAGTGCCTCATATATCAGCAACCCCGCCCTTCAAAATGACAAAGCTCATGAATTAAAGTTCACTGAGGTGCATGGACACTGATACACAGGACCCAGAGGCTGCTGATCATGCTAATTGGCATACTCCAGCAGACTCAATTAATTGAGTCTACTCTGATGCACTGTAATTACAGCTAATTGCTTAATTGACAAGTCATTAGGCTGCCCACTCTTTTCCTCTTTAACCTCATACACTATGGGTACTAGTTGCCCCTCATGCTTTCCCTGCCCCTTCTCCTTGCTCCTCCCTCCCCCCTGCCTGCCCTGCTACCATCCCATTCCTCAGGCACTGCACTGCTTCCCTTCCCTGCCAGACTGCGCCCCATGCTAAACTTTAAATGGTAGTGCATTTCTGGTATAAATATACTTATTGTTTAAATGTTTAACCATAGGCACCAACTCCATGAGTGCTCGGGGGCTCAAGCGCCCACTGAAAAAATCAGCAGGTGCTCAGAACCCACTTGCAGATGTAACCCCCTCCAAATCCCAAAAAACTCTTTACCAGAAGAGATGCTTTACTTCTACCCAGCTCTGCAGCATCTGTAAAGATTGGGCACTTCAACGGGGCTTTTTGGCACTTTTAGCTAAAACTGGTTCAATCATCTATTAGGTGAAAGTGTCATAAAAGCCTCACTAAAGCACCCAATCTTTATAGATGCTGCAGGGCCGGGCAGAAGTAATGCACTGCTTCTTCTGGGTATGCTTGGGGCTCAGCACAGGAACGTGCTGAGTTACATGTAAAGTGCCAGTTTTGAGTTTTGTTTTGTTTTTTTTAACTCCTGCAAGCGCACACTGGCAAAAAAAAAAAGTCAGCACCTATGTGTTTAAACTTCCACATCCCTAAATGCTGCTATTAAATCCCCTCTCAGTCTTCTCTTCTCCAGACTAAATAAACCCAGTTTCCTTAGCCTCTTATAAGTTATGTTCTTACCCCTAACTATTGTCATTGCCCTCCACTGGCCTCTCCAGTTCATCCACATGCTTTCTGTAGCGGGTGGCCCAAAACTGGACACAGTACTCCAGATGTAGCCTCACCAGTGCCAAACAGGGTGGAATAATCACTTCCCTTGATCTGCTGGCAACACTTCTACTAATGCAGCCCAGTATGCTATTATCCTTCTTTGCAAATAAGTAAAGAGTTGGATACATTGTGCAGATTGTGCAGACAGTGGGCCCCATATATGGTATAAGTAACTTGGCTTTGATCATTAGAAGAGAATGATATGGCAGAGTTCCCATGACACTATACAAAAACTTGCCAATCACTTGCGTCACAAATTGTCAAAGAAAAGAAATGTCTCAGTGCTTTGAGAATGCCTGTTAACTTTTACACTGCATTCTTGGACTAGGGTAAAATGCTTCAAGGCATACTACTTCAGTCTTTGACCAGGGTTTCACATTCTGTCACATCTCATTTCTCAACAGAATCTCAGTTGTCCCCTATAGGCATTCTTTGTAAGGGAAGTCCTGTTATCCTATGGTTGAATGAGGATTTCATACTCTATTCCTCTCCTTTTATGCAGAAAGAAATACAGAATAACTATTGAGAGGCGAAGTCAACAGGAAGACTGTAATATGGGCAAGCATCGGCAGCTACGTGAAGACTCCATTCGATCACATTTCTCTGCCGCGTAAAGAAGTCGGGTAGAAAACAAAATCCATTCTCCCTGAAGAAAACTTTAGGAAAATGGACACAACCAAAGACATCAGTGTAAAAGAAAGAGTTCTTCAAGAGCCTCTTCCTTTAAGTAGTAGAGTCATTTTGTCTTAATTTCTTTCAGAAACTCAGGAATGATTTACTAATTGCATGATGCCACTTGGCCTTTCATCTCATGAAAACAAAAAAGACACAGTTTTCCATTGTAGGAAGCCTGTAGTGTTCAGAGAGGGTATACCCTAAGACATTTATTGTGGGCAGCAGTTCTGTGCTTAGAGCTGGAGATGCCTCATCCAGATTGTCCTTTTTAACTTCTACTCCCTTAGTTGCATCTCCCACAAGGATATTAAATGTGGTGTTATGGACACAGCTGCTGCATCATCATCAGAATAAAAACATCTTATTATCACTGAAATCATTGGCTATTTGCCACTCAGTGGCTGCAGGATCAGAATCATATAGTTTAATCTTGGGAGAAATTTGCCATGTAAAATGTAATTAATTTGTGCAGTATAGAGAGTGGAAACACTAATGGAAGTCATTCTTTCTTGCTGTTGATAGTAACAAAATCAAGACTGGGCATAGGAAGACTGATTCTCCTCTCATTTACACCAGTGCAAATCACTAGCAACTCCACTGAATTCAGTGGGAGTTTCCCCTGGTATAAGGCAAGGAGAATTGGGAGGTGAGAATGGATTTGCTATTCCTTTAACCTTCATATTATTTTATTGTCCTCATCTCTCTTTACCATCATCTCCTCTCTGAAAGGGTAGTATAGTACATGATCTTGCTCCCACGGAAGGCAATGACAAAAGTTCCACTGACTTTAGTGAGAGCCAGGTATAATCCACAAGATGTGTAAATATTAATACTGTGGGGTGTTTGTATAGTAAAGGAAATTCAACAGATTTTCTTTGTATAAAAATGACATTCCATGCTAGCATTTTATTTTTTAGGTGTTTTTTATCTTGTATTTTTCTATTAAAATGTCTATTTTTGCTCTGGTAAGATTAAAAGTCAAGGTGAGAGAAGGTCTGAAGAAATATTTTTTACAAGCTCAAATAATGTGCACAGCAAGTCAAAGATGTAAATAAGTCAGATTTTTGGGGCTGTGAATATTAAGCAAATTTTCTTCCTCCTTCTACCCCAGGCATGTAAAGAATGCAAGTAATTAATTAGCTAAAGTAATTTCAATTCAGTAATTAATGTGATAGTTATTCAAGACGATTCACCTTTAGACCCTGATCCTGCAGGCAATTAACTTCATACCTGTGAGGAGTCCCATTTAGTGAGGCTTGCTGCTCATATTTATGCATAAGGGTCTGCAGCACTGAGGCTTTAAGATGCTGTTTTGAGACTGATTTAAATCTTACTGCCATTGATATGCCTGGTAATTTGGACATTAACTTCAGTGGGAGCAGGCTTGGATCGAAGAGGTATGAATGACTGAAAGTAGGGCTTTTTTTATACCATATACAAAAAATCTCTTAAAACGTTCTAGTCAGGAAATGCAAATGCATAGTAGATATTACAAATAGTGCATGATTTGAAGAGTGACAGCTGTAAAATGCTGCCCGAGGAACAGAGGGAAAAAATGCTGAAAGTATGATTATGTTGCCTGAAATCCTTTGATTTATTCTGTCATGATTTCATAATATGGAAACTTTTTGTTCATGGGAGCAATATTTTATATATATATATATATATA